TCAAGTTGTGAATTTGCGTACAAATTATTTGCCTGAAATTTGTTAGGTTCGAAGCGTAAATGTAACTCTTGCAAGAACGGAGCAGGTCGTTTCAATTTTCGCAAGCGAGAAAGTACAAGCTCGTTTCTTTTAGTGCACTTATGCATATGTAGTTAAGTGATTCGGGGAGTGGTGGGTGGCTGCTTTCATTTAAACATGCAACGAATGCTAATAAATCAACGATATTAATAATATCGTGTGAACCTGCTGTTCTTCATAGAATTACGCATGACTAGACGATTCATGAATGGCAATGAATGCATTTTTAACAGCGCGCCCCATTTGCCTTCTCGTAAAATCAGAGTTACTATAACTGTGGACTCGAATACGTATATAATAGGCGTATAATATGCATAGTCGTTTATTATGGCTATTACAATAAATATTTAATTGGCTTCTATGGATCTGTGTGCGGATATGTGGTAAGCGGATAATAATTATTCACGCACAAATTCAATTTGCGAGTTAATCAATGAATTATGCTTAACGCGAAGTTCAAAGAATGTTTGGCCCGCAGGCATTACGAGCAAATACTACAAAGTATGAATTCGCAATGAAAGTGAATCTCAGAAGAGATGGTGTGAATCATTTGGGCGGATGGAAAAGTATTTAGACAACGAATTGATGATCTCATTTAGCGAAGCTCATCGCTTTATGAGACAGTTTGAGACTGAATTGAAAGTAAAGTGTGAATCGCATTTAAATTTAAGAAAATTGAAGAGAATAAATGATTCATTGAGTAATTATATTTAATTCACTTTGTGACTTGTATTTGTTTATAAGACCTTTGTTTAATGACTTAGCAAAGCTCATCGTTTTATGAGAGAGTTTGCGATTAAATTGAAGCATGTTTGGAAGCATGTTTGGAGACTGACTCTGACTTGAGAATATTTTTAGGTAAAAAAAAAATGATTTATTAAGCTTTACATGCTTTTTAAAATGAATAAACGATTCAAAAGATCTATAAACTTAAAGAGAGAGAGAGAGAGAGAGTAAGGCTCAGTTATTTGGTATGTAAAGGCTCATAGTAGCTCAGGGTTCAATTTTAATATTTTGTTTATATTTTTTTCAGAAAGAAGAAATCCCACATGGTGAGTTTGTTCCTGAGTTGGCCTCAGTTCGAATCACGATTCACGTTCCAAAGTCATCTTAAAATTTAATAAATGTCCAACCTAGGATCTTAAAAAAAGGTTATATATAAACATATAAATTTAAGAAAAAAACAAAATTTATTCTGTTTGAGAAGCTACAGAGAAGGTGGGTTAACAATATTGTTCCTTTATTTAAAACAGCTCCTTTTTCAAAATGAATTGAAAATTTCGCTCTACTCTACAAAAAATCAAGTGAAATGCAAATCAGTTCCACTAGTTTTTCCATCAATAATTCAATCGAAAAACAGCTTGAAATAATTCTCGTTCATTTAATATTCTCTATATGCTCGCCAAGGTCGGGGAAGTAACAACAACTTGTTGAACAACAACAACAACAACAACAAGAACAAGAGGAACAACTCGTTGAAGTATGGTTGTCCATAATTAGCGTGAAAGCTCTGTTCATCGTCTCGAATTCCCTAAACGAATTGCTAATAAGCGGGAGAAGCCTCTTGCGATTCCTTTTAATGAATTAGGAAAATCACCGAAGATATGAATAAACAAATGCAACAAATTCGCCTCCGTTCGCATTTATGTGTAATGTGAAGTCATTCAATACGGAAAAGGACTTAGCACCACCGCCACCACCACCACGACTAACACCACTCCAGCGAGCCACTTCAGAGAGCGCCACTTCTGGGCACACTTCTGAGGCAAGCCCCTCCAAGCTAACCACAACATACTATATACTAAATATATACAAGTATATACATATGTATATACCTATATACAAGTATGTAGACATACATGTGTTTGGAAATCTAGAGAGGTGCCAGCCCAAATTCTGTTTGTGCTTTGTATTATTGTTGACTGAAGTCAACACAAGAAGACGTTGAAGGCGTTGAAATACAAAACGCCAGCAAAATGGAATGCAGAAACGAGCAATGACAATATATACATACGAGTATATTTATATATATGTATATATATATATATATGTGTGTGTGTGTGTGTGTGTGTGGACACACACAGTGGCAAGAGCGAGCATAAAAAGACTCAACGCTTGAGGCTGGAAGGGAAGGGAAGGGAGAAAGAGGCTAAGCAGCCAACCAACCGATGTGTCTGCCTCATGCAGTACTCAGTACGTGTGATTTATGTTGGCATAGACTCACGGTTATAGTCACCACACATACGGCATGCGAGTGTACGAGCCACCACCCACATGCACCACTCGCCCAACCACCAGCAGCACTCCACGCCACGCCACGCCACGCCACGCCACTCCACGCCACACACCAGCCGGAGCAAATTGTTTGTCTTTTGCAAATGTTGGCAATATTTTGCGGTAAAAGGTGAATTTATTAACACCAATGCCTACGACTTGGCCAAATGCGAGTACTCTGCACAAACTTCATTTGCACTCAACGCTACATACAGCAGCTTTCTCTGCCCACTTCCTCTTTCCAATATTTACATAACACTCTCCCCCACTCCCCACTCCCCCACCCACACCGTCTCTCAGTCGGCCCTCCGACACACTCCTTCATCACACTCTTAACTACAAGTATAATAAGCAATAATATTAGTTACTTGTCTCTCTTACTTACTTTCAGCATAACTCCACAGAGTTAAGGGAACACCTCCATTGTTAGGGAGTGAATGAAATCTATTTCTACTGATTTTATTCTTTAGGAACCCCATCAGAAGCTAGACATTTCATAGAACTTTACTCTTCCATCTAAATGTTTGGCATAGCTACTATACATCCAAAATATTGCAAGAGATTACAAATCAGTATTATAATTGCAACCAGAAACGATCGTCAAAAGCGAGAAACTCTTCTCTTCTCCTAAATCTCCATGGATTTAAACGAATTCATTTCGGGAACGACTCTCTCAGCTGCCTCTCAAAATTCTCAGCATTTACATTTATTTTAATCCCTTTTATTTCACTTATTAGGAAATGTAATTCGCATTCCAGAATATAACGTCTTCATATATTTTGACTAAGCTTCAAGTAGTTTTCTTTGTTTTTTGTTTGTTTGTTTTCTTTGTAATCGCGAACATTGGTTGTCTCAATCAGAAACAGTTTTTGAAACAATTATGTAAATAAAATAATATTGAAAACTAATAAAGCAACTTAGTTTCAAGAAAAAACTTTTTCACTGTCAAATCGACGAAGAACAACTATCTAGAGCCGATAAAAAAAATAGCTATAAGAAAATTTTCGGATTACCGCACTGAACTGAAACTCAATTAAATTTCTGTTAATTTGACTTCAAAAATATGCTCACAGAGTATTAAAAATTGGGCATTTATAATACCCAATAATAAGTGGCGCAGCCATTTAATTTCTCAGTGAAGAACTCAGTGAAGTGGAGTTCCAACAAAATGATGAACGATGAGCTTCAATTCTACTCAATTATTCCCCATTTGAGTTTCAAAGTATGCCTAAAGAGCATTCCATATCGACTAGCTTTAAGGCCAGAATATATTGCGGCCATTACCTGTGCAATGAAGAGTAGAATTCTATAAAAGTTTTATCTAAAACCCTCCACTGAGATGAGCTTAAATTCGATTGTAAGTTTAAATCTAAAAATACATCGAAAAAAAAACACGACCGACCCAAATCCGATCAGATTTTCTTGCTGTGTATTGGCTGCCCCACATTCGCTTGTGCTGTCATTTCTTCAACTTCAACTCTCAGCCACCATTTAGTCAATCCATGGCCTTTTCTTGTTTTTGTTTTTTTATGTACGAGTATGTTTCGTGGGCGCTGCAATTTAAAACACATTTTGTCGGATTAAAATCTTGACAAATCATAAACAAAACGTCAGGGCATCAACAGGGAGAGTCGCAGCCGATAGAGATACAGAAACAGATACGAATACAAGTATGGAGGAATACGGAGGAGACACGCAGCTGCATGGGCATAAGCAATTACAGATACATTTGTATCTGTAGCTGCCGCTGCTGATTTACTTCGCATAACAAAGGAGCCGGACTGGTGTGGTGGGGTGGGGTGGGGTGGGGTGGGGTGGTGGTGGTCTGTGGACAGGGGCGGTGGGAAGGGGGGAGGGGTAGGTGGCGGTGTTACAGACACACAATAAAATGCCACACAACGCAACACAGAGATGAGATGAGATGAGATGCATATCGGCAGAAGGGCAAGCGCCCGATTTTATTTCCTTGACTGACTGACTTTTTCTTTTTGTTGCTCTTCATTCTGTTTTGTTGTTGTTGGTCTGCTTTTTTACTCACTACGCAGAAAAGCGCTTAGCGGGCAAGTTTCCCTCCACACAAGACGACACGACACAAACAACACACGCTAAGCGGCGACACTTTATGAAATAGAAAATGAAAATCTGAAGTTAAAGTCTCGGCTTTAGCAGCAACAACAACAACAACAGCAACAACAATGGGCGGCAGCCGCATAAAAGCCACAAAGATACGCATCTTTTGGATTGTTGCTCTTCAATTTTTAAGCCGCTTTTTGGTTGACTGTGTGACACAAAATACAATAAAAGTGATATTATTATACAAAATTAAGAAGAAGAAGTAGAAGATGAAGAAAAGACAGACCGAGCTGTCCCTCACTACAAGTATTGTTGTTGTTGCTGGTGTTGTTTTTGTTTTGTTTTTGTTGCTTTTGGGTGACGACAAGCGATGTCGCTTTGCTTTCAACGCATGTCAACGCAGCCATTTCCAAATTCCAATAAGTTTCCACTTATCGTCTTTTTTTTCGTATTCATTTCTTTGATAAAACGGTAAAGTAAACAAAACACACACACACACATAACACAAAATATATACATATGCACTATATACATGTACAGTTAAGTACATAAGTATATACACTACTTGTACTTACCAGCTGAAGATGGGCTCTGGAATGCCGATAGTAGGGAGCGGGTGGGGGGAAGATGTGAAAGCAACGTCACTTTTTCTTGTAATACAAGTACTATTTTTTCGTCATTCAATTGTTTGTTAATCCGAAAACTGTAATGAGCGCAAAAGAAATAAAATTTAATTAGCATGCGTTTTCTATAAATATGTGGGTGTTGGTGTGTGTTTGGGGGAATGGGGATGGGGGAGTTGGGGGGTGGGGGCAGTTCTACGGCTTCCAGATTGAAACAAAGGAAGTCGCAAGTAATCCAATAAAATAAAATTCGATTTCATTCGATTAAGAATATCCTATGTACATACTATATATATATATATATATATATATATATATATATATATATATATATATATATATATATATATATATAATATCTATAGTATTGGAGAGATTATCGCTGGCTTTTGTCAGTTTCTCTTTTCATTTTTCTTTCTCAACTAAATTGCATTTTGAGAAGAAATTTTGAACATTTTAAAATGTATTCAGCTAATTAACATTTACCCCCTTTTTTATTGTTTTTTACCCCTTTGGGGAGGTTAAATTCTCTTTATCCAATTAAAACGCATACAAAATGTGATATGAACTTTTCATCAAACTAAGGAAAGACTTCAATTTTGTTCAACGGCTTCCAGATTGAAACAAAGGAAGTCGCAAGTAACCCAATAAAATAAAATTCGATTGCATTCGATTAAGAACATCGTATATACATACTACATATATAATATATGTAGTATTGGAGAGACTACTAAATTGCATGTTAAGAAGAAATTGTGTAATATTTAAAAATGTATTCAGCTAATTATCATTTACCCCCTTTTTTATTGTTTATTTACCCCTTTGGGGGGGTTAAATTCTCTTTGTCCAATTAACAAAAGGTGATATGCACTTTTCATCAAACTAAGGAAAGTCTTTTAAAATGTGTGCGCATTGTTAAGTTTAAATCTAAACTGAAACAAATTGTTGTTTGTTCGTCCGTCTACCGTTTTGTTTATTCCTCTGAACGCCAACTACTTGTAATTGCGAATCTCTAAAAAAACTTCTGATTCTATGATTTTCTAGCACCTTCTAAGTACTACAATAGATACGACTCTTACTTTCAAGTTTTGTCAGCACGTCCGCCGTTACGAGTATTTAAGCTCTTGGAGCCCTCGAGGTATTTCCCAATAAATTTGTAGTTAAAGAATTTTAAATTCGATTTGGAATGTTAAGAAAGTTGATACGAATTTTTATCGCCCGGCTAAGGCATCGATTGCGGCACTTAAAAAATAGTTCTGAACAGTGGTGGGGCTTGGGTAATAAAATTTCTCAGTTTTCTTCTCGCTCGCTCTCCATCTGTCTATTCTGAAATATATAATAAAAATGCCCATAAAAGTGTCAGCGCGTGAAGGTCTTTAAGCAGCTTTGGCTTTAAGAAATGTTCAAACTGAAGATTTGTATCTGTAGCTGTGTGTTTGTGTGTGTGTATCTGTCGTTGTATGTGTGCCTGTAGGGGGGAGAGGGTCGAGAAAGGGTTTTGGACGAGGATCGCAAACTCCGGCAGTCAGTGGCAAATGTTTTTCTTTTCTTCTTGTCTTGTCTGTTAATTGAGCGACGAACAGAATACAATTTGTTAGCAAAGGAAAGAAAAGTGGTGAAGGCGTTGCCAATAGCTGCCAAAAGCAACAACAAGAAGTGAAAGCTCTTTCAGGAAAATGTAAACCAAACGAGGCGAAGCCAGAAGGCCAAGCGTATGTGTGTGTGTGTGTGTGTGTGTGTTTGTGTGTCGCTATGTATGTATTGTAAGGCAATAAAATAAAATAGAATTTTAAACCACAAGCAAACGTGCGTTATTCATTTTTGAATTTATAACACAATTGGGAAAATGTCGTGCCAAGCACGCGGCTAGCCAAGAAACAAGTCGAAATAGAAGAAGGACGAGGACGACGCAGGATATGTGGCAAAGGATGTGGCAAAGTAGAAGTTGCCAAACTTCAAGTTTTCTACAGAAAACGAAAAGAAATTGTGGCAAAAAGGAGTGAAAATGCGAGGCAAAATGAATGCGTGCGCGACACATAAAAAATAGAAATAAATAAGAAACGCACACACACACACACACACACACCCAGAGAGAGCAGACACACAGAAGGTGGTCCAACGGTAGGTGGGCTTCAGTGGGTCGTTGCCTGGGTGGTTGGGTAGTTGGGTGGCTGGGTGGCTGGGCGGTTCACTCCTTTTTTCTGCCTTGCCTTCGATTGCTTGTCTACTGCTTGCCTTGGTTTTGTCTGCTGCCAGCAAGCTGAGCAGTCAAAAGAAATTGTCGTGGCAAGTGTGACACGATACCAAAGTATTCGTGGCAGGCTCTAGATTTCTGCCACAGCTACTGCTGCTATTATTGCTATTGTTGTTGTTGTTGCTGCTGCCACTGCTGCCACTGTTGCCATTGCAATCGACGTGAGTTCGCGGTAAATTGACAAAATGTACAAAAGTAAAGCAAAGGCGCAAAACAAGTAACCTGCGGTTGTTACCTGCGCGCTACATGATGAAGAAATGAATTTAAACATACACACACACACACACACACACATACGCCTTTTGCAAATGTCAGCAACAGCAAGTCTTTAAGCCGCTCTTTCAACCATTTGTGGCAAAGGCATGCTATTGTTGAGTGGTGGGGTTGTGTCTGTTGACAATTTGGATTAAACATAAGTATATACATATACTATATATGCATATATATTTAAGGCCATTGTATTCAGAAAATATCATTGAATAAATATTGCAATTATGTTCCATTAGGGCCTTCGGGGTCACCAAATTGTTGCAGCACCTCTTGTCCGTTGCGCGAAGTCTTCAAGTTACGCTTTAAACAACTTTGAGATAAAGGCCTCCTATGTATTTTGACAAATCAGTACACATATTCGTATATAAACTTATACATATTCATTTTAATAAACTAAAATTTGTGTGTCTAGGCGACACGAAATAGAAGTGAAACTTAATGGTTGTATTGGTATGATTTAATTTGAGTTAATTTTGTTTAGATTGGTGAGAGGAGCGTTTATAATTATTCAGTAATGATTGTTGGCTTATGTTAATTTGACTAGAAAATGGTTATCGCTATCGGCTATCGAGGGAGAAAGATGCTGGAAAATGGCTAAACCGCCATGAATAGCAAGTAAGCCCGCTAGAAAACATTTATAAGTAGCTGGAGAAAAGGTAGATAGCCGCTTAAAATATGTACAAAACCCGGTTAAAAATGGTTAGAAAACCCGCTAAAAAAAAGGTAGACCTCTGCTATAAATAGCTATTACACCAGCTAAAAAGTAGATAAAAAATTGGCCGTCACCAATGGGTGCTGATCGAGCTTTCAAGAGCCTCAGATAACGCAGTTCTACTTGTATTTCGCACTAAAAATATTTGTAGAAAGCCCGAAAACCACAAGAATTGTCCACCCTCTAAAACCAAGACTTTTGTTTACATTCTTAATTTCAATTGCACCAGCTTGTCTACTTGCTGTTCATTTATGTGCGTCTGTTAGCATGCTATTGGTTTCGTCACTAAAAAGGTTGCCGATTAAAACCTTCCCATAAGAAGTTTCACTTTTAAAAAATTGGCTGCCTCTACGGGTTGAACTATTACTACATTTTCCGCATCCGTTGTTTTCTACGAACTTGTGAGTAGGCCGTCCTTTCTGTAGAATTTTCCATTCAGAGGGTCCAAATAATGCTTAAATCACAAATGAAATTGTTCGCCGCGACTCTACGATTCATTGAATGGCTGGCAGTTATAGCGAAACAATCGATTAACAGATCCCATATTATTTGCAATTCATTATCAATATCCTGCATGTAAGCCTCGTGCGACTTTCTGACTTTGTCTCAATGTGAAATTTTAGCGCCGTCTCACAGTTGCGTTCCGTTGTTCCGCTGAAGTCTTATGGTCGCAGCAAGGGGTTGATGGCAGGCCGAAGACCCGCAGCCTTGTGACTCACATTCGGGCTGTCGCCTGCTTCTAAGCAGATAACTGTTCGCCACCCTAACCGCAGCCACATCCACACCCAGGCCCATGACCATGCCCTAAGCAAGCACCCAGTCAACCATCCACCCACACCTTGCGCCAAAAATTAAACATAAAATTTTGTGCACACATTGAATTTTCATATGCATTCGGCTTCTGCTTCTGCCCCGTCTGCTTCCTCTTCTTTTTCTTACTCTATATAGCTGCTATAGCTTTCTTTCCAGCACAATCAACGCGAGCTTCGATGAGGTTCGTAACGTGAACGTTCACGCTGACGACCTTGTAGCTCAGAAATTATTGGCTGCACACACGTGGCTGTCTCTCTCGCTGTATGTCTGTGTGTGTGTGTGTGTGTGTGTGTGCGTGTGTGTGTGTGTGTGTGTGTGCGTGTGTGTGTGTGTGTGTGTGTGCGTGTATGTGTGTGTGCAAATATGTGTAAAATTTATTTGCCGCACACCCGCATAGCCGCAACAACCCTTTGACAACAACAGCAACAACTACAGCTCAAGGGTTGCTGCCGAACTTCGATTACAATCCACCCCCCTCCCCCAACTTCCCCCAAACCTTGTGCCGTGCCTTTTGCACAATTTTGTTGTTTAAAATCACTTGATTGCACAAATGCTCATTGAGCTAATTTTATTTTGTTGCCAGTGCTATTTTTGTTGTTGTTGTTCTTCTTCATCGTGTTGGTGTTGCCCCGAAAAAAAAAATGGGAAAAGAACGGCAACTTGAGCTTACGTTTACATTTGATGGGATTCCATGCTGTCCGTGTGTCCATATGCAAAAACTTTTGCGAAGCCCTACCCTATCCCCCACCCCAGCTCCTCCTCCTCCTCCTCCTTGCATTATTCACCTTTCAACCCTCCATCCCCATCGCACCCCCTCCGCGCCCCCTTGCTGCTCAATCAACCAACAAAGCATCCATCGCATATATCGTATCCATCGTATCGCTCCACCTTTCGAGCAACTTATTAGCCTTCGAATGCTCACTAATGTGGAAAAACGTGCAATGTAGCAAAAAGTCAAGCCAGTCAGCCAGTCAGCCAGTCAGTCAGTCAGCCACTCAGTCATTCACTTTGCTGAGACAAAGGCTGGCACA